TATGAAAAAATTTATTGGATCTTAATTTGCAAAATTAGCTCCCCCCCATCAACCCTCAGTGTATTCTCAGTTTTTAAGAGTCTCTTAGGGTGTTTTTTTTTTTTTAAAGAAAAGGTGTGGCTATGAAAAAATTTATTGGATCTTAATTTGCAAAATTAGTTCTGGTTCATTTTATTGCCGTAATTTAATACTTATAATGATTTTCTGACACATATGTTTTAGCAGCAAGATCTACTTCTTATTCATTTTTCATTTCGGTACAGCTGAAGTCTATTAGGTAGGACGGTACAAATCAGGGAGAGAAGAACCTCGCAAGAAATGGACTTCACGATGTCATCTTAGCATCCTTGAGACACGCGCTGAGCCCCTGTAAGCGCAAAGTAGTCACAGCCGGAGGTTTCGGGCAGAAGGACACAGGCAAGCAATCCTTCTTGGAAAAGGGATTACTTTTTTGTTTTTTTTTTTTGCTGTATCATCAGCAACCTCTTCATTGTCATCATCATCATTATTGCAATTTTTGTCCAAGAGCGCCGTGAGATGCATCCTGTTGGAACCCGTCCCCCTCGAGCTGTAGCAAGCACAGCCTGCCCAAGTAAGCTGCCGACTAACACTCGGAAGACGCAGGTCATGGACACAGAGGAGCTAAGGTCAAGGGACTCTGAGGGCGTGCTGCTCATCCTGACCTGGGTGCTAGGGAGGGCGTCCCGGAGGAGAGGGCCCCCGGGGTTGAATCCTGCAGGTGGTTCCTTAGGGCAGCGACTGTGTCTTTTTGTTTCTGCATAGTCACCTGTGACGCAGAAGGCACGTGGTAAATATTTGCAGAGAGAACCAACGAAGGTTTACTCTCTTTTTGGAAGTTGATTGCCTCAAGAACCCTGCCGTTGTGCACTTGCGATGTGTCAATAAATACACAGATGAATTACAACAGTTAAAAATGAAACACTAGAGAGACGAGATTTCTGGGGTGTGTGCACCAGCGTGGCACAAGGGGCCTCTTCTGACTGATGCCCTCGCAGGCCTGATCAAAATGATAAAGTCCTTACTGAGTCATAAGGGTGTCCAAGGCCAAGGCGGAGGGAATAAAATGGTACAATATGCATGTAGCGGTGACTGATTTCAATGACCTCAACAGCCTCTCCCAAATTCCCTGCCTGTTTATTTTGGGAAGTACCTTTACCATACACGGGGTAAGACGTCATCAGCCATGGGTTCCAAGGCTGTACTCGTGGAAGACGTGGCCGTCAGCCAAAGAAAGGGGACCATTACAAAGAGAAAGATGTTACATCCAACTTCTCCCTCCTTCTCTCTTTTCTTTTCTTCTCTAAGATTGTTTTTGGTTGTACTTATCTCCGTGATTATTTTCAGCATTTAAAAAGAGAGAGATTCTCAGTACTTATTTTGGAATACGAAAGACAAATGTTTTTCCCCATTGCTTACTGGGTGAAGGTGGCGGGGGGGGGGGCGGGATTTTAATATTAGCATCATCAAGTCAGTGATTTCAGAGAAGATTCTTGGAACTGGAAATGTGTTTGGCCAGTCTGTATTAACTCCCATCCCAGCGATATTATGACCATATATCCTGGACCTAGATGTTCCCATTCGGGGAAGAAAGAGGAACACAATAAATTTTGCAATATTAATTGTGAATCTGGCAGATAGCTTATACCTAATATTTTTGTTTTTGCTTCTGTTTCTAAGAAATCTCCCCGATGCCGAGTACTAGCTGAGAAGGATGTGGTATGCGTGCCTTAGCTCAGGCCCTTTGGCTACGCATTCTTGGAACTCGCAGCGTTTGGAGCTTCAGGACGTCGTTGGCTCCTTCCATTCTGTTCCCCTCCCTTGACCAAGTGACTGGTTGGAAGCCATTTGCTTTTCTAAGAGACGGAGCTGGGATAGAGTGTCTCTTGCCTTCCAGAAACGAGAACTCATGTTTTTTGGAGATGGAGAGACACGCCCATTATAAAGGTGGGAAAGGGTGAGGATTCTAGAGTCGGGCGGCCCTAGGTGTGAATCTTGGCTCTGTCAGTGTGTGAGGCAGGGGCATGTTGAGCCCTAAGTTTCTCCTTCATGCTGTAAAAACAGTAATGATACCACAAGAGAGGGGTTGGGAGAATTAAATTGGATGATGCGGGTCGAATAGTTTGCTGTGGTCCCTGGCACACGAAACGTTCTCCGACATCTGTCGGAAGTAACAACGAAAACAAAACCAAGAAGCAAACTAACTCCCCTAAACTGGGTTCCTGGTTCTTTGGGCCAGTGGGACCAGAGTTGTTACTGGTTAAATATCTTCCTCCTGCACAGCCTGTCGTGTGCCCTTATCTTCCTGGGGGAGAACGTACATGCTTATTTCCTCTGAGAGAGAAACACAGGAGCCCTGTTCACTCCCCATCGGGCTTTGGGCAGAGAGAGACAGATGTGGTAGGCTGGTGGCTAGAGATGGGGGCAGTGAGGGAGGGCCCCGATGAGCAGTCCCCAGGAGCAAGAGGGGTCTGACAGGTCCAGCTGGCCCAGCAGGACCAACTGTGTGGGACAGCGGACCCCCACTCTGGAACCCAGCCTGTGCCCGCAGGAGGAACAGCAGGGGTGACCCAGGGTGGGAGTGATCTCCACCAGCAGGGACCCTGCCCCCGAGATGGACGCAGGTCAAATGGCGTTTGAGGAACCGAAGAACGTTGGGAGGGAATTATAGAAGCCTCTGGTAAGTCAAGCTGGTGAGGGCTTAGAGCAGGGTTTCACTCGCAGACTGGGAAATAACTATTTGCACGCAAAATGATCCCATTGAATCCCGCAATAACCTTGTGACGTTTTTATGGTGCTTTGCAGATCAGGAGAGTGGAGGCCCAGAGAGATGTGAATCACTCACTGCAAGTCACAGGCATCAGCTCGAAGCCTAGACGGAAAACGAACCTCATCGATTTCAAAGTCTGTCCTGTCCATGTCACTGACCCAGCTAAACTTTACGGGACTACATTTTCCCCTACACTTCTCTCCCTGACTTCAGCTCTCTGGCGATGGGCTGTGTGTGAGTGTCTGGGTAAGTCAGCCGATTCTGAATTCAGGCTGTCTGCTTGCCCGTCCGGCCTGCACCACTTACTGGCCTCGCGACCTTGGGCCAGGGAACTAAATTCTCCGTGCCTCGGTTTCCTCATCTGTAAAGAGGGACAAGTTAGGCAGGGCTGTTCAGAGAAACAGAACAGATAGGATGTGTGTGTGCGTGCGTGTAAACACGCACGCACACACAATCCTATTTCTATGTATAGAAATCGATGTATTTTAAGGAATCGGTTCGAGTGATGACGGAGGCTTGACAACTTTGGAATCTGCAGGCAGGCCAACAGGCTGGGAGAAGACCCAGGGAGAAGCTAATGTTGCAGCTGGAGCTTGAAGGCAGTCTGGAGGCAGAGATTCCTTTTCCTTGGGGGAATCTCAGCTTTTTTTTTTTTTTTTTTTTTTTTTTTTTCTTTAAGACCTTCAACTGATTGGGTGAGGCCCACCCACACTATAAAGGGTAATCTGCGTTACTCAATGTCTGGTGATTTAAATGCTAATCTCAGCTAAAAAGTACCTTCCTAGTGATATCTAGACTGGTGTTTGACCAAATATCTGGGTACTGTGACCTCGCTGAGTTGACATACGGCATTAGCCATCACGTGGGGCTAATAAGATCTATCTCCTAAGATTGAAGGGGGGTATCCGTGAGCTGATGTAGAAAAAGAGCTTGGGCACAGGTAAGTTCCGGCTACGTATTACCCGTTGTTCTTCCCGGAACTGGACGTGCTGTCTCTGGCTTTGGCTCAGACGGGTCATTTCTGTCCGTGGACCAGCCCTCTGGTAGCCGGCAGGTTTGAGTTCTGTCTCAAGTTCTGCTTCTTGCGGCTGCCGTGAAGTCCGGGTGCCTCCTGTGTGGCCCCCCGCGTCTGGGAGGAGATTCATGTATCCTGTTTCCCAGGATAAATTAGGATCCTGGGCGCTGCCTCCCATGGACGGCCTCGGTAGAGGCCCAGGAGGGGAAATACCGCAGGGAAGGGCGGCTGAGGACGGCTGAAATGGCAGGGCAAGAATGCCACCCAGAGAATCTTTGTTGTTTATACCGGTGGCAGGAAACAAACATAATGCTCTTTAATTTTCCTTGGCAGGGTCTGAGGCGCCTCGCGGCTGCCATCCTGTCTGCCTGGCCACACTGCACCCCCACTTCCCCCAGCCTCAGGTGGACGGGCCCCCCAGCAAATGCCTTTCCTGGAAACATGAGGCCGCCACAGCCCTCCGCCGCCCGACGCCCTCTGTGTTCAAGCCTCTGCTCTGTCTCCACCGGCCAGCCGTGGCCCCCCCCCCCCCCGCCCCGACCTCACCCCGACACAGGGAGAGACCCTTGATGGCCAGACGTGCATTGCAAGCCCCAACCAACGCTCCGTTTGGAAACAGGAGAATTTTCATTTTGCTTTGGTTGGGGGGGGGGTAAAACTGGGACACATGCAAAAGATCTAGGTGGACAATGGGGAGGGCGAGATGGGGAGGAAACAGAGGAAAGGGGCTGGGGGCAGCAGGTGGGAGGGGGCCGGCAGGACCCGTGAAAGAATAAACTAAGCCTTCATCTCGGAGTCTGATCCGTTTCTGGACCCTGATGGGAAAGGTCATGAATTTTAAAATGTATCTCTCCGGCCGACAGCTCCAGTCATAAAGCCAGCAGTCTCTGAAGCTCTGGACGGCGGGTGGCGGGAGACCTGAGACGGAGGGGCCCCCACCAGCCGCCACTGGCCACAGGCAGGCCTGTGGCAGGCGGTGATTATGGCGGGGGGGGGGGGGTGGTTTGAACACGCTATCCCCGGCAAGATTCTGAGGTCAAGCAATCCTTCCTGCCAGCGTGTGGACGTCTCCAGCATGCCTGGCACGAGTTCTTAACTTTGCAAGTGGGCCTCGTGGACTTAAAGTCCCTTGTGTCACTTGTAAGTCACATGGCCACCTGCTGCAGTCCTGTCCACCTGCCGGGAGCACTGGGAGCCCCCCCTCCTCTGGGGAGTGGCACCCAGGCTCTGAGAGCTGCTGCAGGAGGGGAAGCTAGGTGATCCCCCCCAACCCTTCCCCCTCTCCCCACCCCTGCTCCTCACGCTCCCCCCAACCTCACTCCTATCCCTCCCCTCACCCCATCCCTCCCCCAACTCTTTATCCTCCTCTTCCCCCATGCCACTCCCTCTCCCCTCCCCACCCCCACTCCTTACCCTCCCCCACTCCTTCCCCCCCCCCGCTCTTTACTCTCCCCCCCACTTCTCCACCCTCCCCCCCACCCCCACATACACACATCTCAGAGGAGGGTCAGAGGCTGCACATTGCAGGTTGGGTTCTCTCCGGTCTCTGACTGGCTGTGGGAGGGATGCAAAGGTGGCCGCTGTCTCTCCTGGGCTGGAAGAGGCCATGGTGACCACCGTCCTGGGGCCCTGGGCCGCTGTCAGTCTATCTGCCTTGAGGAAAAGTGCCTGCTCTTGAGAAATGGCGTGTGGTCTTTGAAAACATGTATTGTTATATCTTACGCAGAAGAGGGGCTCTTTTTTTTTTTTTTTTTTCTTTTCCAGAAGGAACCCTGAAGGAGCATAGTCACGACTCACCTGTTTGCAAATTTAGGGTAGGGAACATTGAGGTTTCTGAAAGCAAGATAGTGGTCACGGAAACAGGATGGCAGACCTTTCTGGAACCCCAAGGTAGCCAAGAGCAGTGCCCTCACAGCTGCCAAGGAAGTGGCCCCTTGGCGAGACGGCCGAGCTGGGGAAACGGAGGCTTGTGGCTCCAGAAAGAGGGCCGATGTGCAAGCCAGTCCTGTAGAGACAGTGGGGGCTCTGGGGGGCCCAGGAGAGCCCCACTTGTCTCCGCTCTGGGTCCTGCCTGGTCCTGTCTTTCCATCCCCAGGAAAGGAGGAAGCTCCTCCCAGAGGATGGAGGGGAACCAGCCACCCGTATTTGGGGCACTGGGGCTCCTGGTCGTCTCAGTTTTGGGGAGACTCTTTTCAGGGGGTGTGCTGGACAAAGCAGCCTCCTTCCCATTTAAGAAAAAGATGTTTTCGTCGCGATAAAATATACCTAAGGTAAAATTTTAAATCGTAACCATTTATAACAAGTCGTTTTAAGTTCACATGTTTATTTTGAGAGAGACAGTATCTCAAGCGGGATGCGGGGCTCGAACTCACAAACCGTGAGATCCTGACCTGAGCAGAAACCAAGAGTCGGAAGCTCAACCGACTGAGCCACCCAGGGCGCCCCCACCATTTTAACCCTTTTTAAGCATACATTTCAGTGGCACTTAACTCGCAATGTTGTGCCCCCGCCAGCACTGTCTACGTCCAGAACCTTTTCATTTTCTGAAACTGAAACTCCGTGCTCGTTAAACAGTAACTCCTCTCCCCCCCACCCCCGCCCCCAGCCCCTGGTAACCACGATTCTATTTTCCGTCTCTATGAATTGGCCTGTTCTAGATACCCCTACGTGATGGAATCACATAGTATCTCCTTCATTTTTAACAAAGATCATTTTGGAAACCACCGATTTGCAAAGACAAGCCCGCACGTGGCAGGGTTGGCAAAGGGTTCCTCAGAAGCATGTGGCAAGCCGCAGTGGCTAAACAGAAATGGGACCCTGGACAGGACACCCCCCCCGCCCGCCCCCCGCCACCTGAGCCGGGAGAGGGTGGTGCTCTGTTGGGCGGTGGCCTGGCAGGTACGCCCAGCTGCAGAGAAGACTATAGCGACAGAGGGAGCCTTGACCCCCTTTTCTGACTTCATTGGCTGTGACCAACTTTCTGAAAATCAGACTCCCCCGCAAGACTGGCGGCGGGAGCAAACACAAGGTGACACGGGCATCTCTTTGCTTGGCGTTTCACACTCGTCTTGGCCACAGACAGGAGTGGTCAGGACGTGGACATAGGAGTCCTTTGTGAATTGGAGAACCAGCTCTTCCATTTACAACGTGTGGAACCCGGAACAACTTCCTGTAGTCGTGGGGTTTCGGTAGCATACTTGTGAAGACTCATCTGCGGGGAAGAAATCTCAACCCACGACCTTATTTTGGTTGGTCAGACCTCAAGGACTGCCCAGGGACAGATGGGCGACCCGGTGGGAAGGCGGACAGCACAAGGAACGTTGCCCCAGCTAAACTCTCCTGTGGCGGGATCCAGAGGGGAGGCTGGTGCAAGTCTCCGCTGTTTGAGCCCACGTGTCTGTCCCGGACATATTTCCTGGGCGTCTTCGGGGGGTTCCGCTCAAGGGGTGCCGGCTGCTGTTATGGTTGCTGGTGGGATGCTGGCAGGGGTCCTCAAGTTTTGAGGAGTCTCCTTCCAAGGGCAGGGGGGATATGCGTGGCAGGGATTCAGATGCACCCTTGCGGGGGCAGCCTCCGTGCAGACTCGGGGGCGTAACCCCCTTGGCTCTTGGCCTTTGGTGAATTTGCCCAAGCCCTCGGGTGAATACTTTCTCAACAGCCTCCTGGTCCCCTTCTGTCACCTCACTCAGGTTACCCAGAGATTTTTCCTAGCAGCGGATCTTGAACCCGAAGCACGGTGGGCTTACTCTCTGTCCTCTCAGGTGCACCGACGGCACCCCCACGCCACATTTAGCGGTGGGTGCGGCAGGGTGGTTAGGGAGCATCCATCTGCCCACAGATCCCAGTTGGGTGGGTTAATTAATGATCATAGAGTACTCTGAAGGTCGGAGGGCTAATTATTTAGCCAATCCCCTCCCTTCCCCCAAGTCCCCCTGGACGGCCTTTTGTCTCTTGCCCTCATGGGGCATCCTTTGAAATGAATAGGATGGGCTGAACCAGGGGTCAGTTAATAGAGCCGGCCATTCCAGATGGCCGGACCAGAGAGGCCACGGTCGGAGCTGAGATTTTCTACGAGACTGGCGGCCCCGTATAGCTTTCTTTATATCAGCGCTGGCCAAGGTTCCAGAAGATTGTGGTTTTCCGGGCTCCCAACTGGGCACAGCCGACAGGAAGCCTTCATCGGCTAAGGAGTAACCCGGTGCCCCTGTGTGTGTGATTTCAGCGTGAGATCCCTTGGCCATTCGTTTATTCTTTCCTCTCCCTCTTGTTACTCTCTTCCCGGAGCGTGGATCCAGAGCAAGAACCTGGGAGGTTCTGTTTCCTTCGTGGGTTAGTAGCAGGTGGCAGGGAACAGCTGTCCCCGCGGGAGCCGTGTGCTCAGGTTGCCTCATAGAAGGAGGCCGTCGTATTGCTTCTTCGCCTTCCCTCTCTCCCAACACACCAAGGCTTTGAAATAAGATGTATTTTTCTACTATTTTAAAATCTTGAATGGTGTATCCATTTTTAGTCGGGGGGAAACCCAAGGATGAAATAGATATTGTAGGAGGTGGGATTACACTCAGGTATCTGAGCCCGAGACCAGGTCTTTGGGGCACCTGGGTGCATTTTAAGGGCAGAGAAGTTTGGGGCCGAGAAACCCCAAGTCAGCGTGAGCCACGCACTCATTCATCTATGTTCACCAAGTTTATCGAGAGGCTCTTTTGGTTATAGAGATGGCAGGGATACAAAGAGGAGACGATGCTTAGTTCCGAAGGCAGGTTGAGTCTAATAGGGAGAAAAGTATGAAAATACAGAAATACGGCAAATGATACTCGGAGCGATTGTTTTGTATTTTGCTCTACTTTTACGTTCCCTCAGGTCAACAGGTAGATTGGCTCTTTGCCCGTCCTTGCCTCCGGATATTTCCAGGGCAGAAAACAGAAGCTGCTTGAAGTCAAAGGCTTTTGTAAAACTCCCAAGTTCTTTGAAGAAAGGACGCTGGGGTCCCTGGGGGGGGGGGGGGGGGGGGAGGGGGGGAGGAGGCCTTTGAGGG